TCAATACATTTGGCATGTCAGTCATTGAATAACTTGATAATCTCTGTAAAGATTTATTAAGAACAGAAAAATTTAAAAGTATGTTTATTCTACTAAGAAAAGCAAAAATATTTAGCTCGTTCTCATTCAGAACTTATACTATTACAATACAGATCTAAAAAGAGGTAGTAAATACCATCCCTCTTCATTGCACTGACACACCTTGTTAGTATCCCCTTCACTAATTCTTGTAATTATTGTCATATAAAACGTTACATGCAGGGGTGCAACAATCAAAGGATAAAATTGGTGGAAATAGTGAAAGCAAGAGAAGGATACAGGAAGGTTACCTCTTTTATCTCTTCTGGTGGTAGCTGTTCCACATTTTGCAACTTGCTAACATTCTGATGATGACTATCATAGTAACTGAAGAAGTCATTAGCGCTTTGTTTTAAGAGATAGACAATAATACCCAGACCAGGCAATCGCCAATATGGAATCACTGGTGCTTGTGTATCTAAAGCAGGTAATAATAATTAAAGTTAAAGCAAAGAACATTTACCATAAAGTTGGATTCCATTAAATTAAAAATAATCTTAATCTAAAATAAGGGCTAAAAATAAATTTATTACAAAAGTGTGGCTTCCAATATCATGCATTTGATATTGCCTTCCCATCCACTATAGTGTACAAACATATAGAAAATAAGTAATAAAGTATGCTACATATATAAACATTGAGAGCAAAGTCATACAGACATATATGGTATGACATATTATATGGAAGATAATCATACTATCAAACTCAATAACCATGAAATTCGGTATATTGCTGACCTAATGCTTTTACAAACTAAAACGGCCTCTGTGGCAGAGAATGTTTAGGTTCTGCATGAATCTTGACGTCCCAAATGTAAAAGCAGGCTTATAAACAGGACATAAAGAACAGTCTTAGTACATGAGAATATGGGAAGAATCGTTAACTATAATATCTAGAATGCATTTTAAGGTACCCAAGTAAACCTACCCTGTCGAGGTCCTTCTCGATTGGTGGACTCAGAGAGGCTGGGAGTGAATAGGCAAACTGTATGTTCAAAAGTAGGGGCACACTGTAGCATAAGCAGCTGGCAATATTCCATCACATTGGCACAGATCTGCAGACATAGATGTAAAGGTTTTTTAAAAAAATACAATGTCTCTTACTGCTATGAAAAAGGCACAGAAAATAGAAAAAAAATGAAAATAACAGTCTTTGTTTCTTTGTTTTTATTTATAACCAGCCTTTTGTACAGGAGGCCAAATTGATGGGTGTAGTACTCTTATACATTCCCCGCAACAATAATCTTGTGAGGAAAGTTGGGTTGATGATTGACCCAAGAGAGAGGAACTAAGTCCCTTTGGGAGCTTTGCAGCAGAGAATGAACTAGAACCTGGGTCTTCTTAATCCTAGTACACCACCTCAATCACTATATCACCTAGTTTTTCACTTTTATACACCTAAGTTCACTGAATGGCTCACCTGTTGCATGGCTAGTTCAAGATCATCTCTCTTGTTCACTCTATCCGCATCTGTGTGATCATCTTGCAACTTGAATTGGCGCAGTCTCTCTGAACTACCAAACCGTGTGAGTAGGCCTAAGCATTGGCGCTAACAGCAAATGAAAATAAGCCAATGATTAATTCTGTTCTCCAGATGTTTACCATTAATTGTATAAAAATTCAATGTGTTGTTTAAGCTATAATATCATATTCTGCATAACTGACAATATTAAATTGAAATTCTTTCCTTTTCCATTTTTTTTCTCGATTATTTATCTGTTCCGAAAATTTGCAATTAAAAATTTTGTTCCTGAAAGTATCATACTTTATTCATCTTCCCTACCCTGCTCCTCACAAAATTCTACTCCATAATGTAACTTGGGCCGTAGTTTATGTTCCTTGTTTCTGCACACCTTTTATGCCCTAAAGTTCATTCTGCAAAATTATTTGTTGTATATATAAATATTATGCCACAACTAATTCTGTTTTTGGAACAGGATAGGAAATATGTTTATTTTTATGTTAAATCTCAGCTAAATTGAAACATTTATTCTTTTGTCAAAAAACAATACTTTACACAGCCTATAAAAATGTATATAAAACTTATTTTATCATAAGCTTCTTGGAATTGATGAAGATTTAAGTGGTGCAAGTAGTAAAAAAAAGCAATTGCTATAATTACAGAAATTTACCTGAAATCGCCCTATATGTCCTTGTAATTCAATCTGCATTCCTTCATTGAAATCAAGGTCAAAGTCACCCAGCACACCTAATGAAGCAACACTACATAATAGATTCAAATTGTTTTTTATAAGGGCATCCTCTGTTAGGCTATAGTAATCACTCATAAATCACTTTATTTAGTAGGATCACATTAATTTTTAGTTGTTTATTGTTTCAGAATTTTCTTGCAATTTAAAAAAATTCTTTTATTATATTTTTTGTATTGTTGGTCTTTTTCCTGTGTTTTGTCTTGGATCCTTAATAACCTTTGGTTGGATCTCTGAATATAACATCCTTGGAATATATGAAATTACGTATCCTTAGCCAAGTTTCATTCAATAAATACAATACTTAAAACTTCTTCTGCACAAAACAATGTCCATCTATCAAGAAACAAAGCTACCAGCATCCATTTTAGGAGCTTTTCTAATAAGCAGATTCTGCTGAACTGTATAAATAAAATAGTTCAGCATTCTAACTTCTAAAAATACACATAGTGATTTTGACTGATTGATTCGCTCCCTGGAAGTGTCACATATAATGAATATGTGAATCTAAAATTCATATTAGAATGCAAGACCATAATATCTATTGCATGAACTATGAAAAGCTTCCGTGAACTTTCTCTACCTGCTCTATACAAATGGAACATTTTTATAATATATTTTTTACACATTTACTCTTATTCTAGTTGTTTTGTATCAAAAAAAAAAAATATCTTGCCTGGTAAAGCAGCTTTGCTGATTATTCCAGTTAGTAATGCCAATTCTTGCAAGGCTCCCACACTAACTTCTTGACACCGCAAGATTGCTTGGACAGCATCTGAATGGGATATTAGGAACTGCAAAACCTATGAGAGAAAGAGGCGGGGGGAGGGAGGAGAGAGAGGGAGGGAGCGAAGGAGGGAAAATGGGGTGGAAGTAAAGTTAAAATGTAATTAATTCAGGGAGCTGGAAATAGGAGAATGATATCCAGTATCCAATAGAACTAGAATAATTGAAATGAACAGCTAGTGCTACCAAAAGTTTCTGTCATCTTACCTGTCTGGCAGCCTGAGCATGTTGTGCCATGCTAGAAGTAAGGATGATTTGGCAAAGCTGGAGAGCAGGCAAAAGAATCTGGTGGTAACGCTCCACAGGAGCAGGAATGAAGACTGGAGGGTCTCGCATTCCAAATATTCTTAAAGGAAGAAGCAAAAAAGGAAACCAATAATCTGTTTATCTTTTAAAAAAACTTGAAAATTCACAATACACATTTACAATTATAAAATACAAAAGATATCTCTGTATACTCTCAGAATACTTACCTAGCTTAGTACTAGCTTGGTTTATGACATAAATCCTAACACAGGTAATCCTTTAGTAACAACCTTAATTGTAGTGGCATCTCCATCTAGATTGGAGAAAGATCTTTAAAGGGGGGGACGGGTGGGCGGGTGGAGAGACTTAGAGTCCTTGCACTGCAGAAAGTGCAGTGGTCTAGCAGAATCCCCAAAGCCTCATCAGACTGTTTCCAAGGGAATGTATTCAGTCTGGCAAGATTTTTGTAAGATAGGTGACCAGCAATAAAACATCTGCTGGAGACTATTCATGAATAGTTCTGGTATAACCCATCTAGCACAGATAGCTGGGAACTGATCATTTGGAATTACTATTTGTTCTGAGATTTAAGTGGAGGTCATGATTTAGATAGATGGATACATTTATTTAATAACTGGCCAGAAAACAAAACAAAAAACAAAAACAAATTTCAGCTTTGAATTAACATTAAAGTGAATGAAATCTTAGATTTATTTATTTGATTTACATAAATGATTTCTCAGCCCGCAACACAGGCGGCTGCAATATACACAAATCCTTGTAAAATAATAAACAATTAAAAGAAAAAGTCCTTCGGGATTGGGTGGCATATAAATTTTAATAATAAATAAATAATAAATAAATAAAAGAAAAAATTTAAAAAATTAACAAAACATAGATTAATATAACCAGTTACTCTTTATAAAACTATCAAACCCTGTATTTTTAAAACAATTTACCAGTAAGTGAAATAATTTCAAATCTAGTCAAAACATGCACTATAAACATACAACACTAAAAACATTGCTTTATCCTAACCAGGATATTACTTTGGAAATCTGGTGTATAAGCTTACCCTTGTTGATCTATTTCTGGCCGCATATCATATACCTGAAACTGTGCAAGTTTCACTATTACTCCAGATCTCAATAACTCTAGTGCTCCTTGCTGTATTTTTGCTACTTTGGTCAGGAAGGCCTTGAGGGGAAAAAAAATAAATCTTTTATTTGTTAACAACAAGAACAAGGATCTAAAAATCAGAATATATAGCAAGGATTTGCCAAGTAGTTAGAAGCTCATCTCCTAAATCTCACTCATTAGGTCATCCTTCCTTCTTCCCTGCAGAAAGAGACTGCATTGAGTGATGTTGTATCGGCAAAATGGTGATTCAAATATTGATTTTAACAAGTCACAAACAGACCAAGGGTCAAGATAAATTTGACATAAGATTTTGGAATTAATTATAAAGAAACCTTCCTATGGGAAAATGCTTTTGTTTTGAATTACTTAAAATCATTAAGAAAATAAAATTTTAATAATTGAATACTAAAGGGAACTAAAAATTACAATTAAAGGAGAAAAAGACTCAAACTAAAATTACAAATATGAATGAACCAAAATATTTTACATTGAAGAAACTGAAGGATAGTTTTGAACAATCAACCTGGAAGTTAATTTTAAGACTATCTGCCTCTGTAGAGAGTCTTTATTTAAAAGATGTTATGGAAAAGGAACTGATTTGAAAATGAATTTAAAAATGACAGGCCACAAAAAATAGAAAAATGTATCACATTGGCTGATATCCTAGTAACTGAAAGAGATATACAAATAACAAACCAAGAGTGACTTAGATAATTCTCCTATACTGGATTTGCAAAAGAGAAAGTACCAAGAAGTATATTATTTAAGCTGATTAGATCTAGTAAAAGGGAAGAATATAAAGTAGATTTAGATATGTTATCTCTATGAACCTTGCTGAATTAGGACTGATGAGGTTTTAAAGATTTGTTTATAGATAAGAGACGAGATACGGGAAGAAGAGATCACTTGCTGTATTTTAAGAGAAAGTGCTAAATTATTAAAATTGTTTATACTTGCTGAGATGACGGAGGAAGTTTGTGTGTGTGTGTGTATTTCTTTCCATACTCTTATTATTTTTCTTTTCTACTTTTTTCTTTTCTGCACCTTATAGGTTTTTCCTTTTAATTCTTTTTTATTTATAGTTTCTATTAGCTTTTATTGTTGTAATTTAAAAGAATTAATTGGGAAGGCTGTGGGAACGCTGGATAGTAAGTATGCTTTGATTTGCTTCTTTTGAATAAGCTTGTATTGCAAAGCAGAAAGAGAAACTTCATGTGAAGTGGTAGAACAGATTAGACTTCAGAGCCTTTTCTGTTTTCAACAACGGTTTCATAAAAATATGCTTTAGATATGAAATTGAAAGTTCTTCTAATCTAGCTAATAGATAGAGAGTATTAAGAGATATGGACAATGTGCATGCAAAGATTTAAAAAGTGAAATTTTTGTGACATAACGAGTTATGTGTTAGTGCTAAATGCTGGCTGGTTGTTTTAGTACAACAGAAGCAGAAGTTTCAAGAATCTCACCATTTTTGACTCATAGGTATACAGCGCTTTAAGCAAAGGAGGCTGTGGTATAAGTAAACTTTGCAACTTGAGATCATCATCCGCCAGGCTGTCAACAAGCACTTTTAAGTAGCCACTGTTGGAGAGATATAATAACCACTGGTGCTGTTTATCTATAGAGACGATACGGTCCAGTAATGCTAGTGCTAACATCTAAAAAAACAAAGAGAGATTAAGTTATTTTACAAGAATGCAGAGTCTCTGCTTAGAAAGATTTGATTCATATCTTTAAACTTGAATTACTCTTATCAATTTTAAATAATAATAAATGGAGTTTGTAGGTTATATATTATTGCATTTTATACCTTTATAACACAACTGTATAAAAACCAACCTACCAAAATACTATGTATTGATAGTTCAACATAATCATTGTTGTTATTATATATGTAGTATTTTGATTGTTGCAACGTAATTGCCCATCACCAAAGACTTAAGTCTGTTCAAAATTAATAGGTCTAATTTTATTTACCCGTCCTATCTCATGTCCATCACAGGCATCTCTGCAGACTACCTCCATTAGGGCAGAACCATAGCTTTCAATAATAGCCATGTTTTCTCTCTGCAGTTTACTGAAACCATCTTCAGGAGCTGTTAAACACTCCCACATGGACTTTTTGGCTGTAAAATAGATCAGAGTATTAAAAATAACGCCTTTTCTCTTTAAACTGTATCATAAATTGTATTTAGCAAAAATATACACTGTAGAAGGATAATATCTTAGCGGGACAGGTGAGAAAACATAAAAAAATAAAGTTGCTTTGAGACAGATTTGATTCCTGATGATTTCATATATGGAACGGTTTACCAATTTTTTTCTGGGAATGTTTAAAATTTGGTAACTTTTCCTATATAGTCCTATTATCTTCTAGATGTTTCCTAGAGAAGTAGTATCCAAGCCCAAGTCTGCTTAGCTTTTCAAGTGAGATCTCTTTGTGCAAAAAGCACTGAGAATTTAGGTACAAGAACAGATAATTGAAAACTTCACAGTATTAATGCTGGTGGAAAACAGATACTGGGATTTCAAACTTTAGACCTGAAAGTTCTTTTAAGAAATTTAAGAACTTCACCACTACTAATGTTTATAACATCTTATTCTGTAGAGATGGACTGTATAAGAAACTGTGTAGAATGTCATATTTTCTATCATTAGATTGTATTTTACCTGCTTCTAGGGTATCTGGTTCATCTGGTCGTTGAGCAATCTGCAAATAATAAAGCAATGATCCATACAGGTGTGTCCTCACTCGCTGGAATCCACCACCTATTCAGCGAGAAAGAGAGAAGAGAGACGCCAGCAAATGTAGAATTATACATATGTGTGCCTTCAATTATATGTACAATGCTAACTTTGCAATGAAAACAACTATTATTCCATAAAAGCTAAAGCAGGAGTAATCAATTGTTCCATTCTTAGCAAAATTAAAATAGAAAACATTATAAATATACAACTACTGTCCTCTATTTTTGTCAGTACAACCCACGTGCATCCTCTATTGCTTATGGCTCTAACCGTTAAATAAGATGAGCAAACCTAGTTTAAGTATCATTTTTAATTTAATGAAACAAAATGAAAATACGTTCAATTCCATATTATTTATGGAATTCCTTTCCAGTAAGTATAAGTGATTTTGTATTCACCGGTCTTCAGAATAAAATCCAGAATTTTTTTCAATATGATATGTAAAGAAGAGTCTCCAATGGAGGCAAATCCCACTGCCAAGTCTTCGGAAGCAGGTGATGTAGCAAAAGAACCATCCAACATTAGGACAAATTGGGAATGTCCAGGCATAGGAATAGAAAATGGCTCCTTTTGTTCTGTTCGTACAGATTGGCTTAGGTGAGCAGTCAAAGTGAACACGGCTCCTGCCACAACAGGCATTAATTCTTGAGCTGCATCTTCATTTAAAATCTTGCAGGAAGAAAAAAAAGTAATGGTCTTAAGTCATATAAGTGACAAGGTTTCTATCATCAAATGAGTCTCAAACTGCTATTAAACTGTCTCTGATATATTTCCCCTTTCCTTACTCTGTATTTTATAATTTAATTTTAGAAGAATCTCCTTTTAAACAACATAATGTAGCAATAGATCTTTATAGTTTACCTTATCATGTAAATCTTGCAATAGATCACGGATAATAAGCTGCCTGTCTTCAGATTGTATGAGGTCCTGTGGGCAGGCAGTTAATATGATTTCAACCAGCTGCCTCCAGGACTCCAGAGCATGTTTCTTTGCATACAGACACTGAAGAAGCTTGTTCCTTTCCACAACATACTGAAGAATTGTATTGATTTCCTGGAAGTCAATAGAAAAAATATTCACTAATAATAACAAAAAACAATTAATCAAGTTATACTATTATGATATCAGTTTACAACCAAGCAGGGAATATTCATGCCAGAAATATTTTGGGGATGTTGAAAACAAGTTGCATAAAAGGAATTTATATTATTTTCATGGAATTTCCTTTTAAACACCATAAAAATGTTTGATGGTGAGAAATCATAGGAAAAACTGGAAGGGGCTTTTAGGTGAGGAAGGATGAACTAAGGCATCTCCAAATTAGCAAAGATGATAACCACAACTAAGACCTAAGAACCTGTGAACAGACTGGTCTCACAGAACCTCTCTGGATAAGGAGATGGTAGGAGATGATTCACTTGTGCTCCAGACATTGTTCCTCATGAAGAGACTACAGGACAGAGGTATCTCATGAGTTTGAGTTCTGGGAGATTAAAAGAACCATCATGCTCTCAACTGCAGCAAAGTATTTTAAAGGACACTGAACTCATTCACTCACTCACTTTCTAACCGCTTTTAGAAATTATCTGAAATCATCCTTTCTTTTTTTCTCTGTATATCTTTTATTCTTCTTTTACTTTCCCTTCTTCTTGAGTTTAATTTGTATTTTTTCAATATTGTTATTAAAGCTTAATATAGATAGTCCTTGATTACAACCACCTCCATGATGGTGCAATTTTTTTAAGAAGATACTGGATATATCCTCATTGATTACAATCTTATATATTTTTAAATTCCCATTTCTTAAAAGTAATAATAAAACTGGGATTCTAGCAGCACAGCCTGCTTATAAATATCACTTCCAAATTGGTAAGCATTATATAAAATATTTACTAAAGCAAATAATAATACATCCCCATAACCTTTTTCAAAATCAATCATTCTAGTTATTTCATTTCTTTACCTCCATAAGTAAAGGTCTCTGTCCAAGGGCTGCCATTCCTTGCAAGGCATTAACTTCAGCAATCAGAACTTTGTGAAGATGCTAGGATTGAGGAAGAGAAGAATGTCTAATGCACAGTAACAATACTAAACCTAGCTGTGAAGAGCATTTTCACCCTTTCATTTATTTCTTACTTTTGTCCATTTTTACTTTCATCCTAGATAAAATGATACTTTAATGAAGCTACCCAGGAAAAATACAATACACATCATGAAATGTGAGTTTATAACACTCAGTTCAATGTAATATTTTTTATTTTGCCAGGAAGAAACTGACTATAACTTTATAAGAAAATCTCTCTCTCTCCAGAACTAACTTTCAAATGAAAATAAGGATACTAATGAATATATTAAGAATGAATACTCAATCCCAGAATTACCAAACATATTTTAAGAACATGAAGCAAACTTGATAAATATATAAATAACAACTCTGGCCCCTAATAAAACTGGGAGCTAAAATCCATTTCAAACCTTTGCTTCAAACTCAAGCAGAAGGCCCATACATGCATTACTGTGGGTGGATCAGCTCTTAAAGTGTGTTTTTATATATATACCCCAACATTTCCCAAAACTTGCTGACCTTCACATTGCAGATAATTGGTCCATGTGCAGTCCTATTCTCACAGTTAGCAATGACCTCCTCTATTTGAGCACGGTCAAAAAAATCTAGTTGCAAAGGCTCTGGGATCTCTTGACTGAAGTCAATTGAATCAAGGATGCTCAAGATTTTCCTATGCACTGAAGATATTAGAAATCAATTTAGAAATTTCTGGAATCAGACAAAAAAGAATTCAGCTGAACTCTAAAGATGTAAATGACAAACTTTATGATTTAGTTGTTTTTCTATTTACCACAATTCTACATTTTATTTCTATTATCCACCATCAGAAAGACACACCACTGTATACTTACATTCAAATTCTGAAACAGTATAGCTCCAATCCAATGTAATTTTGTGCAATTACAATGCACGAAATTGAACTGTGAGTGCTTTTAGCATTTGTTAAAGTTTTATGCTCTTGGAGCTAGTCACATTGAACATTACTGTCAGGCACAAAGAATCAGGACAAAACGTTTAAGTGGCAGTTAAGAAGATTTATTGTCAAGCCTAGTAAACAAGATTCTAATCAATTAACCTTCATTGTTAAATTGGCAACAGATAAAGTTCAATGGAATTCAAGAGGGGTTGGACTTAGATGTTTGTAAGAATGTTAACAACTCTAGGCTGATGACTTGCTTAATTGCCCCTCCCTTCCATTCTGTCTCTTCTTCTGTTACAACACAATATTTTAGGAACACAACAAAAGGGAAAAATCCCAAAATTTCAAATTGTTTATTAATTTCTGGATTGTGCCCTCTCATTTCTTCATAATGTATTAAGTTGCTTCCTATTATACAGTGCAGAAATATCATAAAATATGTATGCCAGAAGCCAAAAAATGATGTATATAACACCTATACAGAAATATATTTATCATGTATAAATTAAAGTATATTATGATTTTTCCAACAATTTCTGAGTGTTCTGATTATAATAAACAGGCAAACAAAAAAAAGAGAACCAGTTCTCAACCTGGGGTGTCAGCACTTCTAGGAGGTGTGAGATGGCAGTGTGAGACAAAGAGTGCATTGTATCCCTTGGCGATGGGTCATGAGTCACAATTACTTTTGTAGTGGTGAGAACATTATTCAATCATTTTGTAAGAGTATGGGGCATAGAAAAGGTTGGAAGGCACTAGGATAGAAACCAGAAGACTGAATTCTAGTCTGCCTTAGGCATGAAAGCTGCAATAGTTTTATTACAGCAGTCAACATAATAGTCACTATATTCTTAATTACTATCTGTAAAGTAGGTCTTCACAAATAGCTTACCCTTGGAAGCAGTGTCAAAGTGAAGGAATCCAGTGACAGAACGACTATCATCTTCTATCCCTCCTTCACCATCAGCTAAGAAAATTAAATTTAAAAAATTAAAATTAATTTATAAGCCACCCAATTTTACCACAGAATAAATTTAAAGCAATAAAATACAAAATGTCTGCACACTTTGAAGTAGCTGCACAAACTGAAAGATGCAAACTTTAATACTCTTCGTTTACACTAATATACATTTGTTACATATTGATAGCAATATACTCCACTCCACTACTAATTTTACACTGAGAGAAATGAACAATAAAAACCATGTATTATGTTAATAGGCAAGAAAAATGTGCTATACAGAATAAACTGATTGTTAATATGTCAACTTTGGCTAAACCAATGTCTCCATTATTTAAATAATGCTTGCTTCCCTCACTCCTAAAATCATAACATTAAGCTCTCTATGAGAAGAACTAGAAACTGTTATGATAAAAGTTATTAACAACTAAATATGAAAATGACAACGAATTCCAAAAAGAAAAAAAAAGGCCTTTAGATATAATAATCCGGACCCTTCTATCTATTTAGCCAAATTCCATTTACCTAAGTAAGATCTAACTGGGACATCATCGAGAAGGAGCTGCAACAGTCTCTGTGTGTGAGAACGCTGGCGGTTCAGTGATGTAACTCGCAATTCTATAGATGCAGTTTTCATTAACCATGACATCTGATTCAAGGCAGGAATCTCATGTTCTGAGTAGAAGTGACAGACAGAAACAGCACACACAGTAAAACACACACACACTGGGAAAACATAGCCCTCCTACTCTGACATGCTTTGAAACTTTAGCTTGGAATGTTTGAGAACAATCGTATTGCAATACGGTCCAATTAACTGTAAACGCTCCCAAAATGAGATGCCTCAATGGTCATGCTTCCTGACACATTCTTTCCCAATGCTGAGATGAAAAAGAAGAGAGAAAAAAGATAGGATGAATGAAGTGCTACAAAAGAAGGGGAAAGTATTTTTCTTCCTTCCAAGACAAGATTTCTAATATTGTGAAATAAAAACAGTTTTTTTCTGCAAGACTAAAGTATTTCAATTTAGAATTAAAAAACAAATGTTTCAAAACAATCAGAATAAAGTACATCCAATTAAGATTCCATTTCAAGTGTTACCTTTGACACAAAAAGGCAAGTGCTGCAATTGAGAGAATAGGAAATCCTGGCTAGTTCTCAAATATCTCATTGTTGGTCCTGATGTGTCTGAGCATGCACATAACTGATAGATCACCTGTTCATAATAATAAAAAAAAGACCATTGTGTGTGTGTTTAGGTATAAAAACAAAAAACATGTACTCCTTTTAAAATTTTACAAAGAATATCAGGTTAAAAAACATACCTGTAGTATTAATAATGCAGTATTATAACTGCCTTCAGTGATTTAAATGGCTTACATGTAACAGTCTTATTTGTAAAAATCAGCTTAGGCAGCAATACTCTAAAGTGAAGGAGTCAGATATATAATTATTTTTAAAAAATATATCCCTGAATTCAAAGAGGCATCATTCTCTGTAATCATATGTAGGCCTCAGTGGTGGGTTCCGGATCCTTTTGCAACTGGTACAGTGCAACGGGGCCTGGTATCCACCACATGAACCTGCGCATGCTGCGCATGCATGCATCCTTAACTCGTGCAATGCTCCACGACAATGGTCGTGCAATGCTCACTGGAGTGTCACGCAGGCGCTGTATGCTCCGTGCGCATAAGCGCCAAAGAGCTCAAATAGAGGTAAGGAAAACAGGCGGGCGGGTGGGCCCTCTGGAGTACCGCACCGGAACGGTACCCGGTGCTCCCGGCAGGCATACTGCCTGCAACCCACCACTGGTAGGCCTGTGATATAAATTATAAGAATCAAAATAGCACAATAAAACTACAAAAAAGCTACAAAAAACACTGAAAGCTGATTTGCTGTATATACAAATTTTAAATTCATTCAAAATTCTTTCATACCTGATAACACAATTCTGCTAGATGTGGAGATTCCCGAACTGCTGTGGGATCAGATCTTGTTCCAGTACCATTCTCTAATATGTTCAAAATAGCATGAAGGCATGTGCGAGGGCAACCCAATACACCTTAAAGATTAAATACACTTGTTTAGATAAACAGTGTATAAAGTATAAGGTAATTCACACGGAAAATAAAAAACAAATTTCATTCTGTTTGAAATTTTAGTGTACTTTTTACTATACTATCTAGAAGTTGCAAAGAGTTTGCTTTTATAAAATTACTTTAATGTTGTATTTTATTACAAATGGGATATGACCGGAACATAATAGTACCCAGATTTGCAGAGTTTACATCTAGATGCATTTTTTTTACAATGCAGTTTTAATATGTAAAATGTTTAACATTTATTCAGTGTACCATATTAATATTATGCTATATTGGAAAATTAAAATAAAATAAAATATCACCATCCAAGTGTGGGCTTTATTTTCCAGATTGTAGCTAGCTACTTCCCTCTCTTTCTCTATATTATCAGAGCACTTTCAGTTGGGTACCTGGATCTTGCAGATTTGTAGTGCTGACAGGCTTCCTGAATTCATAACCAAGAAGATACAGAGCAAGATTGGGTGGTTTACACTCCAGAGAGGCAATGAGAAGGTTTAGAATATTAATCCTTGTTTCATGGAATATCGGTGCTTGCTTCCTTTCAACTTCAAATTCTTAGAATAAAGCACAAACATTTATATTAAAAGCGGATTATCCAGAAAGTGTTCAGTCAATCCATAGGTATTTTCTATTAATCTAAATTACAACCACTTCAGAATTTCTGAACAACAGAAACACAAGCTATTGTTAAAAGTATTGATTTGTTTCTGAAATAACTATATCATCAGCTTACCTATAATTATAAATTATGGGAAGCAGAACACTGTGAAATTATTTTTTAAATGAAAAAAATAAAATTAGTTTTTCTTTACTTCTGTAGCAGGAAGCCGGAGATAACAGATGCAGAAGCTGTAAACGCCATTTTGAAGACAATTAAGCAAAAGAGGTTTTTATAACATTGAAGCTGGTATTTCAGATAGAGAAAGGTTTTAAAGTTCACAAGTTGGTCTTAGCTCGTATTGACTTTTAATAGTCTCTTTTCTAAAGATTGTCCTGAGGGGGAGGGGTTCCTGTCTAGTGCTGTGAATAACAG